TTCGGCAATCAGCCTTCTTTATGGTCCAGCTCTCACTTCCATACATCACTACTGGGAAAACCATAGCTTTAACTATACGGACCTTTGTTGGCAAGGTGATGTCTCTGCTTTTTAAGATGCTGTCTAGGTTTGTCATTGCTTTCCTCCCAAGAAGCAGGCGTCTTTTAATTTCGTGGCTGCTGTCACCATCTGCAGTGATCATGGAGCCCAAGAAAGTAAAATCTCTCACTCCCTCCATTTCTTCCCCTTCTATTTGCCAGGAGGTGATGGGACCAGTGGCCATGATCTTCGTTTTTTTGATGTTGAATGTATAGTGGCATCGAACTTTTAAAGCATTACATATGTGGGGCCCCCTCCCCTCCCCGGATTTTTGAAGCCCAGATTTTGCCCTGAATTCACGCTGTGTTAGAGCTTAGCTCCCTTCTTCAGGGCCATCTTGTAGCTTGAGGTCTTGGTTTATGAAAATCTTAACCACATGTGAAACCATACACCAGAGTGAAAAGTGCATGTTGTTATCTCAAGCAGGAAACAGAATGGCCCTGTGAATCTCAACCAGGAAGCTGTGGTTGCTTACCTGTTTTTGTATTTTGCATGAGTAAGAGTTTTTGCTGTGCTAGAGAAAGTGGAACATGGGTGAAACTCTGAGGACTGGTTCACACAGTTGTTTTCATGGACCCAAAACACTCTGCATGGTTGACCTTGAGTACCCATGTTCAGTGATCCCACAGCAGTAGACGAATGCACTGCTTTCCATTGTTTTGTTTTATTTATGAGTTACTTCCTATGAGACATATAGAAAACAATCACTTATCTAAAAACAGTCAAAATAATTACATAAAGTACATCAGGTCGAAACTCTGTTCAGCAGCGGATCCTTTTGGGAATTATAGGGACAGAACTACACAAACAGTATAGAAATTTATTCATGTATGCGACCACAGTGGCAAGAAGACGTCCCAGCAAAATAAGAAGGGATACCAATATTTAATGAATATGCAGAAATGGCGAAACTTACTGGAAAAATAAGAAATCAAGATAACAAACATTTTATAAAAGAATGGAAATGGTTTATTGAATATTTACAAACAAACTGTAAACTGATAAGAATATTGGCAGGATTATTGTACAGTGGTACCTTGGTTTACAACCATAATCCATTCCGGAGGTCTGTTTGTAAACCAAAACAGGTTGTAACCCAAGGCACGCTTTCGCCAACGGGGCCTCCCCCCAAAATTTGTTCGTAATCCAAAAATAATGAGTTGTAATCCAAAAAAAGGTTGCAAACTGAGACACGCACTTCCAGGTTTGACGTGTTTGTAATTCAAAACATATGCAAACCAAGGTACCACTGTAATAACCTGCAGTTTTATAAGAGTATACTGTATATTTAAAGTAGATGAATTAATGAGCAAATTAAGTTAATTTGGATATGCAGAAAATGTTAAAAATAAATTTAAGGAACCGCAGAAAGAGGGGGAAGGAAGTCAAGTTTTGAAATGTTAAAATGATTGTAAAATTAGGGCCTTCTTGGTCGCGGCTCCAATCTGGTGGAACACTCTGTCACAAGAGACTAGGGCCCTGCAGGACCTGACATCCTTCCGCAGGGCCTGCAAGACAGAGCTGTTTCACCAGGCCTTTGGTCAGGGCGCAGCCTGACCCCCTCCCTGGCAATCGGCAATCTGCACAGAATTTGGCTTGATGGTTGCCATTAATTTGATTTTAATTTGATTTAATTAATTTTATAATGAATGTTTTAGAATGTCGGATTATTTTGATTGTTGTTAGCCGCCCTGAGCCCAGCTTCGGCTGGGGAGGGCGGGATATAAATAAAATTTATTATTATTATTATTATTATTATTGAAATGTATAAAATTGAAAAGCATAAGGAACACAACAACAACAGCTCTTCAGTAGTGGGGCAGCTGCTGGGAAGTCAAGCCTTTAGTCTTTTTAGTTACACCAGCTTTTGCCAGTGTAACTTTTACTGAGTTGCCAGGTTATGTGGCCAAGCAGAAGGGGCTTAGGATCGATCCTAACTTGCCCCTTTCTGGTCCCACCACACATGCCCAGGACCACGGGTGCATTCTAGAGCTGCCCAATCAGCATGCAAGGGGAGCTTCTCAGCCACCGAGAAGAAGTCTTCTCGCCAGTGCTATTCTTCCTAGAAAAAGAGGTGCCGGAACTCACCATGAACGCCTCACTCGTTCTCTTATCATGGCAATGGCGCCCACCTGAGAGGTGCCGCAACTGAGTTCTGACTGCAAAAAAAGCCCTGTCTATATCTGTCTATAAATATTAGTGGATGGATAGATACCGTATTTTTCGCTCTATAAGACACACTTCCCCCCTCCTAAAAAGTAAGGGGAAATGTATGTGCGTCTTATGGAGCGAATGCAGGCTGTGCAGCTTTCGCTGAAGCCAGGAGAGCGAGAGGAGTCAGTGCGCACCGATCCCTCTTGCTCTCCTGGCTTCGCTTCGCTGGAGAGGCTCTGCGCAGCTTTCCCTCTCTGCGCAGCGCCCCTTTAGCGAAGCGGGAGGAGAAATGGAGCCCCTTCCGTTTCTCCTCCTGCTTTGCTGGAGAAGAGAGGGAGAGAATATTTTTTTCCTTGTTCTCCTCCTCTAAAACTAGGTGCGTCGTATGGCCGGGTGCGTCTTACAGAGTGAAAAATACGGTGGATACAGAGAGTGGGTGGCCGTGGGTGACCTTCTGCCATGGATGCTTTAGTTGGAATTCCTGCATTGCAGGGGGTTGGACTAGATAACTCTTGGAGTCCCCCTGCAGTTATATGATAGTAGAAGGTGCTTCAGAAGGCAGGGGCAACCCATTGTGAACAATGGAACATTAAGGAAAACACTACTTGAGTCTGTTGTAAACAAAAATCTGCCCTTTCCCCCCTTATGGGGTATCCAAGAGCCCATATAGAGTCCTTACGTAGATTCCCTATTGGTAGGAGAAAAAAACAGAGGCCAACCAGAGAATATTGAGAAGCAAAGCAGCTAGTAAGCCTGATTTTTGTTGATCTGTTGCAACAGGGTCCTCACTCACCACACGCAGGAGGGAGGAGGAACTCAGAACAATGGTGCGCAAGGCCTTATATAGACATTTTAAATTCCCTGCCCTGGAGCTCAAGACCACCCCTCCATACATCATACATACATCACGGAAGGGGTGTAACCTTAGACCACCCCCCAGATACATCATACCAACATCACAGAAAAGGCGGTCTACAGCAGAAATCTGAGTGACTTGTTTATCTTGTCTGAAAGGTTACCTGTTTAGTGGTGACTTGATTGGATTGCCTGGGGAGCCTGGCCAGTCTTTTGTAATGATAAATGCTTAGTTCCTGAGCCAGGTCACAGGCTCACATCCTATTCATATCTTAAATGTGCCCTTAAGACAGGATTTGTGAAGGAAAAAGACAATGGGGACGTTTCCCACTTTGACCTTGCAGAGAAATAATTGAGGTCAGTTTGTTCAGGACTTTTTTTTTCTGTGGGGTTTTCAGACATGTGGTTTATATATTTATGTACGTGTTTGCTTGGTACATTTATTACATATCTAAGACCTTGAAATTCTTATCACAAGTCCCTCCAAATGAAGGTGTTGGAGCCCTCCAAATCATTTGGCCGTGTTATTTGCACAGCAGATATTGGCTCTGCCTGAAAGTCAAGACATATAGATCTGCGGTGTTATAGATGGGATATTCGTGGGTGAAGAAAACGTTTCTGTGAACAGCCCCTAAGACACGCAGAATTGTAGACTGCATCCAGCTTGCGTCTCCCTGGGATCTCTGCCCCTGGGCTTTCCTTTTTCCAGACTTCTCCTACTTTGCCTCTCAGCCTTCAATTCCCTCAACACCCCAAACACTGCTTTTCCTTTTTTCTGGCAGCTGCCAGTAGCCCTTTCTGATGTGAGGTTTTCCCAGCAAATTGATGTCTAAAACCCGCACGCCCTGCATTTATAACTAATTTTCTTCCTTAAGTCCGATTTGCATACCCAATGAAAAAGAAACATGTGTGCTGTGCTTCACACATATCCTTGTGTATACAGTGGTACCTCGGGTTACATACGCTTCAGGTTACATACGCTTCAGGTTACAGACTCCGCTAACCCAGAAATATTACCTCGGGTTAAGAAGTTTGCTTCAGGATGAGAACAGAAATCGTGCTCCGGTGGCGCGGTGGAAGCAGGAGGCCCCATTAGCTAAAGTGGTGCTTCAGGTTAAGAACAGTTTCAGGTTAAGAATGGACCACCAGAACGAATTAAGTACTTGACCTGAGGCACCACTGTATTCTCTTTCCTGAAAGGGCTCTATAAGGTAAAAAGGTAAAGGTACCCCTGCCCGTACGGGCCAGTCTTGACAGACTCTAGGGTTGTGCGCCCATCTCACTCTAGAGGCCGGGGGTCAGCGCTGTCCGGAGACACTTCCGGGTCACGTGGCCAGCGTGACGAAGCTGCATCTGGCGAGCCAGAGCCGCACACGGAAACGCCGTTTACCTTCCCTCTAGTAAGCGGTCCCTATTTATCTACTTGCACCCGGGAGTGCTTTCGAACTGCTAGGTTGGTAGGCGCTGGGACCGAACAACGGGAGCGCACCCCGCCGCGGGGATTCGAACCGCCGACCTTTCGATCGGCAAGCCCTAGGCGCTGAGGCTTTTACCCACAGCGCCACCCACGTCCCCTATAGAAAGGGCTCTATAGATCAGGTTATCTCTTCAAAGTGTGGCTGCCATCAAGTTAACAGCCAGGACTCCCTTCCTGTGTGGGTCTGGTGACAATAAAGTTTCCGTTTTTAATTTGCATGCTCAATACCTGCTGACAAACCTGCCCACCAGGACTTTAGCTGCTCCTTTTAAGAACATGGCAATGGCCTTGCTGGACCAGGGCAATTAGTTTTGTTGACATTTGATATCTCTGGGATGGCCTCCTTTCTTCTTTTGGGTGCATGAACAATCTGTGAAATAAAAGCAGTGAGATGTCTTTGAATATTTTCTTTCAGATGGACCCTAACAGAATTTCGGAAGAGGATACCCATTGTCTGAGAACCTTTCTGCGACTCCAGGGGAATATAGACCTGCAGGAAACAACCTTGGCAAACCAAGAAACAAGGCTGCTGTCTGAATCGTGCAGGAGGATGAAGCAGGCATTTCAAGGAGCGATGCAGAAGGTCAGTGCAGCCCATCTGGTCCAAAGCTTACAGCTAGCCTGCACATTAACCCCAGTGCAAAGTGAGATCCTGGCACCCACAGATCCAAAACGGTCAGTCAGTAGCTGGCTTGCCCTGCTTAGCCGAGAAGCCGATTTCTTCTTAGTGTGACTCTCAATAATAATTTCCCCAACCACTCTGGGCGGCTCCCAATCAAGTATTAAAAACAATACAGTGTTAAATATTTAAAACTTCCCTGAACAGGGCTGCCTTCAGATGTCTTTTAAAAATAGGATAGCTACTTATTTCCTTCACATCTGAAGGGAGGGTGTTCCACAGGGTGGGCGCCACTACCGAGAAGGCCCTCTGTCTGGTTCCCTGTAACCTCACTTCTCACAATGAGGGAACCGCCAGAAGGCCCTCGGCGCTGGATCTCAGTGTCTGGGCTGAACGATGGGGGTGGAGACACTCCTTCAGGTATACAGGACCGAGGCTTTAAAGGGCAGCACCAACACTTTGACTTGTGCTCGGAAACGTACTGGGAGCCAATGCAGATCTCTCAGAACCGGTGTTATGTGGTCCCGGTGGCCACTCCCAGTCACCAGTCTAGCTGCCGCATTCTGGATTAATTGCAGTTTCCGGGTCACTTTCAAAGGTAGCCCCATGTAGAGCACGTTGCAGTAGTCCCGATGCAGTAGTCCCAGTCTGCATTGGGAACGTAATACAGTGGTACCTCGGGTTACAGACGCTTCAGGTTACAGACTACTTCCACTAACCTGGAAGTAGTACCTCGGGTTAAGAACTTTGCTTCAGGATGAGAACAGAAATCGTGCAGCGGCAGCAGGAGGCCCCATTAGCTAAAGTGGTGCTTCAGGTTAAGAACAGTTTCAGATTAAGAACGGACCTCCGGAATGAATTAAGTTCTTAACCCGAGGTACCACTGTACAGTACCAGTTCAGCACCCCAGAGCTGTTTTTCCATCCGAATACAAGTGGCACCCTTAAGCACCCTTAAAAAAACACATGATTAACCCAACCTGAAGTTTGTTTCTTACCCGCAGCTCATTTTATACTTACGGTTGCTTTGGGAAAACTGATATTCCTGGCATTATGTTCATCTGGGGTATATAACTAATTCTATAATCAATATCAATAAATTATGGTCCACAATTCTTCATTCCCTCTTATTGGAAAAAGTATGGAGTTCAGGCGGTACAGAATATAAATTCTGCATGTCCCTCAGCAGAAAGTGCTTGGAGTTTATCCTAGTGGTTAAATGAGACAGTAATACCGTATTGGCCTGACTATAAGCCTCACTTCCCCCCCACATTCCAACCTTACGGTATGCAGCCAGGAGCGCAGCAAAGTGGCGTCTGTCCCGCGCATAGGCCCCTGTCTTCTGCGCAGCGCGGCTCCCTGCCCCGTATGCAGCCAGGGGCAGCGAGGAATGGAGTGGCTTATATTTGGGTATTTTTTCTTTTCTCTCCTCCCTCCGAATTTTAAAGGTGTGGCTTATATTCGGGTGTGGCTTATATTCAGGCCAATACAGCAGATAAATGACACAGCTCAGGACCGCATTACCTCAAGGACTTCCTCTCCCCATATAAACTGGGCCCTGCGATCATCATCGGAGGCCCTTCTTTGTGTGCTTCCGCCATGAGAGGGCCGGAGGGTGGCAACACGAGCCTTTTCTGTAGTGGCTCCCCATTTGCGGGATGCTCCCCCCAGGGAGATTCTCCTGATGCCTTCATTTTTAGGTGCGAGGCGAAAATGTTCCTCTTGTCTGAACCTGGACAAATTATGATAAACTATAGCTTGGGACGCGGGTGGCGCTGTGGGTTAACCACAGAGCCTAGGGCTTGCCGATCAGAAGGTCGGCAGTTCGAATCCCCACGACGGGGTAAGCTCCCATTGCTCGGTCCCTGCTCCTGCCAACCTAGCAGTTCGAAAGCATGAAGTGCAAGTAGATAAATAGGTACCACTTCAGCGGGAAGGTAAATAGCATTTCCGTACGCTGCTCTGGTTCACCAGAAGCGGCTTAGTCATGCTGGCCACGTGACCTGGAAGCTGTACGCTGGCTCCCTCGGCCAGTAAAGCGAGATGAGCGCCGCAACCCCAGAGTCGTCCGCGACTGGACCTAACGGTCAGGGGTCCCTTTACCTTTATAGCTTGGAGAGGTTTGTTTCAACAAAGGGATCAGATATGATGAAGAGCAGGCTAGAAATATATTCAATACATAATTGAACCGCAGATTACAGTTAACCACGGTTTTTCAAGTTCAGACAAGTTGTGGTTAATCTTAAACAGAAGCAGCGCTTTCTTTCAGCTAGATTTTGCTGGAACTCAGTTCTGGCACCACTCAGGTGGGCGCCATTGCCGTTATAGGAGAATGAGGGAGGTGTTCATGGTGACTTCCGGCACCTCTTTTTTCTAGAAAAAAATAGCACTGCATAGAAGTGATGATTTGCAAATTCCTGCAAGAGAAAGAAAAACCAAAATAAGTCATGGTTGCTGTTGCTATTATTGCCTTGTTTCTATAATCTGTAGTTTCAATTTGCTAAAAATCTAATGAAAATATTTTTTTTAAAGTTTCCAACGCCCTTTGCGCAGCCACGCTGGAGGAGAAGTGAGAAACAGGTGGCTCACTGCAGTTTGTTGTTATAAAGCGGAAACTTTCACTTTTGAGTTGAGCGTTGAATCTGAATGAAGCCGGTGAGGGGTTTTGAAACCTATGTAGGTCTTCCCATTCTGACCACTAGACCACATGCGTTATCGAGAAAAGCTGTTGTTGTTTGCAACAAGTCTTTACGATAAAGTGATCCATAAATTGAAAGGAAAAAATATAAGCCCAGTTTGTTTGTTTGTTTGTTTGTTTGTTTGTTTTTAAACAGTCATGTTTTTATTGTTAAAATAATTCAGCATTAATACACACATATTGCGAATATATAAGCATACATTTCATACAATTCTTAAAAATGTTCAAACATGCCTACACTCAATCCCACAGATAATTCCTTTCCCCATGACCATCCACCACCCCTCACCCCACCTTTGTGTTAGACTTCCAATCTGTTGTTGTTGTTGTTTAGTCGTTTAGTCGTGTCCGACTCTTCGTGACCCCATGGACCAGAGCACGCCAGGCACCTCTGTCCTCCACTACCTCCCGCAGTTTGGTCAAACTCATGCTGGTAACCTCGAAAACACTATCCAACCATCTCGTCCTCTGTCGCCCCCTTCTCCTTGTGCCCTCCATCTTTCCCAGCATCAGTGTCTTCTCCAGGGAGTCTTCTCTTCTCATGAGGTGGCCAAAGTACTGGAGCCTCAGCTTCACAATCTGTCCTTCCAGTGAGCACTCAGGGCTGATTTCCTTAAGAATGGATGCGTTTGATCTTCTTGCAGTCCATGGGACTCTCAAGAGTCTTCTCCAGCACCATAATTCAAAAGCATCAATTCTTCGGCGATCAGCCTTCTTTATGGTCCAGCTCTCACTTCCATACATCACTACTGGGAAAACCATGGCTTTAACTATACGGACCTTTGTTGGCAAGGTGACGTCTCTACTTCTCAAGATGCTGTCTAGGCCTGTCATTGCCCTTCTCCCAAGAAGCAGGCATCTTTTAATTTTGTTAAAAATTAAAAGACGAAATTAAAAGACTTCCAATCTACTCAGTTGCAATTTCTTTCCACTTCTATTACTTTCTTTCACACACCTTTAACCTAATTTCATGCCTCTTTTTCTATTGCACATTGTTATCCATCTAATTTAGTATTTCAGTATTTAAAACGGAACTTGTTTATTCTAATAGGAGTTCTGATTTTTCAGTATGGTTTTGCAAGTATCCTTTAAACACCTTCCAATCCCTGTCTATCTTCTCTTTTGAGATCCTTCCAATTTCTCCCATTTTTTTTGGATATATTGTAGTACTCCAATAATTTGGCAAGCCACTCTGTTTTTGTCGGTATAAAACCACTTTTCCAATTTTTCGCAATCAATAGCCTTGCGGCTACTGTTGCATATAAATATAATGTCTTCTTCCTTTAGACTTCCTGGTACTATTCCCAATAGAAAACCTTCTGGTATATAAGCCCAGTTTGGATGACCATCCCAAGCTCCATAAATCATAAAGGTTGATGAAACTGGAAAGGAGGCCAAGAACTCCACATTAGCCTTCCCCTCCTCTCCTTGTGTGTTTGCTTTGGCACAAAGATCTTGCCCAGGGTTCAGAACAAGCATCAGGTGCAAGGAGATTTTGACATGGGCCTTGTTTTCAAATAAGAGAAGTCAGGGGACGTACAGCCCCATTTGAATACTGTGTGTCTCAGTGAACACTGGCTCTCAATTTCCCTTTTGCCTGACTTGAAGACTTAGCAAGTCCTCGAAAACTGAGCACAATACGCTTGCTTCACATGGAAGTGTCTGGCAGAAAGTGCCAGGCAAATGTCTAAGGGTTGGGTAGAAGCAAATACCAGAGGGCCTTTAGAGTGTTTGATCTCTTACACATCACTGCGTATTTAGCTCTATTTAAATGTAATTACAATCTAATCTAGAGCCGTTTAAAAGCTGACAGAGTGCTGGCACTTGATATGTTCTGTCTTTTGTAATTGCCCCTTGCATAGGAAGTAGAAAACTCTTGGTTCGTTTCCTCTTTATTGCCTTTGAGGGATTCTAATGTCCCAACAGTTCTGTTAATAAAAATTACTGCAATAGGTTTTAATTGCCCTAGTTCAAAGTTTAAAGAAAAGCTTTGTCTGAGTTGTACAGAAGAAAGTGGGCTTAATAGAGCCCTGTGTAATGTTGTACAGTGGTACCTTGGGTTACAGACGCTTCAGGTTACAGACTCCGCTAACCCAGAAATAGTACCTCAGGTTAAGAACTTTGCTTCAGGATGAGAACAGAAATCGCACGGTGGCAGCGGGAGGCCCCATTAGTTAAAGTGGTACCTTAGGTTAAGAACAGTTTCAGGTTAAGAACGGACCTCCAGAATGAATTAATTTCTTAACCCAAGGTTAAATTATAAAATT